GCAATATGTGCAGAATATACTTAGTGAGGAAAATTCAGTAGAGAAATTTTTCTATGGCCAATGGTGGTAGTTTCTTGGATTAGGAGGAACATTATTTAGAATGGTTGAGATTGGAAAGGAGCTCACCACACTCTCTATTATGTGAATTTTGTTTCTTTTGGATGAATGAACATTTTCTAAAACTGAAAATATCTAAAAGCTCAGAGATGGGCTGTGTTATACATATCTGTCCATTTGATATTTCTCAAAGTGGACACAGGTATATGGTGTACACTCGTGAGGTGTTTAGATCATACTGGCTTCTTGAGAAAGCCTGCTTTGGATTTACTTTGACCAAGTCTATGTCTAGTGTCCTCTGGAGCTCAAGTCACCAGAGGCATGGTTAGGACATCTTGGCCTCTCCACAGGGACCTGAAGGAAGGGATTCATAAAGTCCCCATTCAGAAGGGCGCTAATGCTCCTGGATCCTGCAGTCTTTCTAACTCACTGGGGTTCAGGTCTACCAGGGTCTCCAAAGTTTGAGAGCATCAGGATCCAATGGCAAAACAAAAACGCCTCTCTTCCATAAGCCTATTGACTAAAATATTTCCTGTTATTTTTCTTTCCGGAATACCCAAAGGTAAATATCCAAGCAGATGGGAAACAGCAGAAGACAGCAGGGCCCTTCATCATTAACAGCTCTAAGGGAAAAAAGTCATTGAACACAGAGGCACATCATGATGGAATCCGTGAGATCAGAGGAACATCAAAGGGACCCTGCGGACCTTGGTCTTCCCTTCCCATCAGTGCACACACCCTCTAACTGAAGGGCCTGTCTCTGAGCCTTCTTCTGACAGCCATATAAATACAGGTTGGCTCCTTACTCCCCACACACTCAGCTCCTGATCAGAATCCTCCAGTGACTCCTAGCCATGAGAACACTCACCGTCCTCCTCGCTGCCCTTCTCTTGCTGACCTTCCAGGCCCAGGCTGATCCTCTCCCAGGAGCAGCTGAGGAGACCCCAGATGAGGAGCAGCCAGGTGACGAGGACCAGGATATGGACATCTCCTTTGGAGATCCTGAAAGCTCTGCCCTTCAACATAGAAGTAAGTGATGCCATCAGTAGCATA